CTCAGTTCGCAAGTTACGAGCTACAGACGCGTGTGCGATAACCAGTGATAACCAGTTATATCTGGAGTGTGTAATTCAGGGAGACTTGTATAGCTCCCGCGTTATTAATACGTGAAGACTCTTGAAGATAGTGTTAAGAGATTTTGTTGCAGGGTTTGTAAAGTGTGGAAACCCGTAATATTGTGATAATTAATTGTAGCCGTTGTTTGTAGGTTGTTAAATAAACCAATTACCCATCTCTACGGCGTCTTCAGTAACGAAACACGTTACAACAATAATAATAATAATAATAATAATAATAATAACAATAATAATAATAATAATAATAGTAATGTTTGAACCGCCCCCATTAACTACGTAACTTGCCTACAGGCTGTCTTGCTCACTTGTACGTGATGGTAGTGGAATACAGCAGACAGGGCAATCCTAGGACCATGCCCGCCAGCCAGATGACCAAGATCGTGACTTGGGCACTCGCTTTGGACATGCGGGGTTGAAGTGGCCTCACGATCGCCAGGTACCTGAAACAAGTAAATAAAGTGATATGTCATTGTGTCGTTCAACTGAACTAAACACACGTACTTGCGTGATTTCTGGATCTTAGTATCTCATAGCGGTGACTAAAAGTTTCTATCTTGTGTGATATACCGCCATGTAGTCCGGTAACCGACGACCAATGTTTCGAAGGAAGGTATAGCTGTCGTCTTCAGAATAGAAGAGTTAGCCAGACAAAAACAAATATTAGGCAGATACCAAGGAGGGTTCTGTTCAGAGCGAAGTTTTTCCGAAATGTCGGTTGATTATCGCCCGGGTACACACCGTTATATCTCCGGAAGACGGCTCTTTATGTGGTTTTTGCTTTTTCGTTTAAAGTGTTGTTACATGAACACGTGTGAATCCGTTACCACCTGTTTCACATCTCACTATTCATGATGTAGCATGTGGTGCCTGCAACCCGGATCAAATTAGAATTAGAAAGCCGTGGGGAGTCCATTAAAATCACTTAAAGATTGCACGTGACCAAGCACAGCATGTGACTTATGTTTTAAATACAACATACATTTAATTTTTATGTCATTTATATTTTTAATATTTTTTATATTTCTATTTTCAGATTTTCATTTTATTTTTCTTTATATTTTTAATCATATCATAATACGAATTGTATACTAAATTGTAGATATATACCTAATATACACATATATATTCTCTAGCAACGTAGCCATCAGTTGCAGAATATAGATCCCTATTATAACCAATTTTAATCACTTGAGTTATGTTCATGAGTTCCTTATGATGACCTAATTATATGGCCGAAATATGTAGCACAGTTGTCTCTATTGAAGATATTCCCATATTACTTGTTGTGTCGATGGTGGTAACATAAGCACTTACATCATTAATATCTTAATAAAATTTTTGTATGACTGGAAGATACAGAAAGCACCAAGAATATCGAGTTCCGAGAAGAACCCACAAAGCATAGTCCCCCATTGCTTAGATTTCTAGTCCTACCGATCTAGTGGCTACTGTACTTATTGTTACTTTTCTGTGAACACCTCATTTCATACATACATATTCTACCTCTGTTAAATTTGTCATATATAACCTAACTTTGGTGGAGTCGCCATCTTTGTAATTGTTGACTTATTATTTTTCAGGTAGTTCATAATTTTATGTTCTTCACCATATTTTTTTTGACAAAGAGTTAAGGAACATAAGATGAACGGGGCATACAGCACACACGAAAATAATCAGATGTTCTATAAAATGTAACCCTGAAGAAAGGAGGCCGATCACGGTGGCTACATGGTATAAGGCATAAACTGTCTTCGCTCTCTCGAACACTAGGGTCTTGGGAGCGAACCGCACTCGAGGCTACTGTACTTATTGTTACTTTTCTGTGAACACCTCATTTCATACATACATATTCTACCTCTGTTAAATTTGTCATATATAACCTAACTTTGGTGGAGTCGCCATCTTTGTAATTGTTGACTTATTATTTTTCAGGTAGTTCATAATTTTATGTTCTTCACCATATTTTTTTTTGACAAAGAGTTAAGGAACATAAGATGAACGGGGCATACAGCACACACGAAAATAATCAGATGTTCTATAAAATGTAACCCTGAAGAAAGGAGGCCGATCACGGTGGCTACATGGTATAAGGCATAAACTGTCTTCGCTCTCTCGAACACTAGGGTCTTGGGAGCGAACCGCACTCGAGGCTACTGTACTTATTGTTACTTTTCTGTGAACACCTCATTTCATACATACATATTCTACCTCTGTTAAATTTGTCATATATAACCTAACTTTGGTGGAGTCGCCATCTTTGTAATTGTTGACTTATTATTTTTCAGGTAGTTCATAATTTTATGTTCTTCACCATATTTTTTTTTGAACAAAGAGTTAAGGAACATAAGATGAACGGGGCATACAGCACACACGAAAATAATCAGATGTTCTATAAAATGTAACCCTGAAGAAAGGAGGCCGATCACGGTGGCTACATGGTATAAGGCATAAACTGTCTTCGCTCTCTCGAACACTAGGGTCTTGGGAGCGAACCGCACTCGAGGCTACTGTACTTATTGTTACTTTTCTGTGAACACCTCATTTCATACATACATATTCTACCTCTGTTAAATTTGTCATATATAACCTAACTTTGGTGGAGTCGCCATCTTTGTAATTGTTGACTTATTATTTTTCAGGTAGTTCATAATTTTATGTTCTTCACCATATTTTTTTTTTGACAAAGAGTTAAGGAACATAAGATGAACGGGGCATACAGCACACACGAAAATAATCAGATGTTCTATAAAATGTAACCCTGAAGAAAGGAGGCCGATCACGGTGGCTACATGGTATAAGGCATAAACTGTCTTCGCTCTCTCGAACACTAGGGTCTTTAGAGCGAACCGCACTCGAGGCATGAATGTCTGTGTGCGTTTATTCTGTGTTTGTGTCGTCCTGTATGTAGGTAGGTACCTTGCGACGGGCTGATCCTCCGCCCAAGGTGTCTTACTGTCTGTGTAAGAAGGATTACGAAACCGAAAAAGAGACCAGGGCCCAACAAAGGGCTCTAGAGCCGTTGATGAATGAAGGAAGGAAGGAAGGAGGGAGACGACTTGGAATTTGTAAATGTGAGGACAATATTAAAACATATGTTACAGAAATCGGCCGAAAACATGGGCTGAATTCATCAAGGTTCTCTTGCGAGAAACGTGCCTTGAGTTCCAAGAAAAGCCTGACATTTATTCACCATCCAATAAGCTATTATCTTCTGAATGATCTGGCTCTACTATAATTTTATTTACTGGTCTCTTGCTGTTTGAGAGTACAGGGAGAAATTGTAGAGTTCTGCAAGGTTTCGCAGTCCAAGTAATTTTAAGACGTTCTTCTAGGACTCCTGGCCACGTACGAAGGGTGTATAGCCGTCTCTGTTGAGAGAACGAGTTTTGTAATGTATATGATACAAGGCCTCTGTCAGTCAAGGCATTATAGAGCCAATTATGCCTTATCTTGCTTGCCTTGCCATAACGGGAGCTTAGTCACTTGAAAGGCGGTGTTCATAATCCGACTGGTACATGAGAAGAGCGCTGCGTGCAGTGGCTCGACTCAATCCTTTGCCTTATCCAAACAACTATCGTTAGAGCAGGGTCGTGAAGGCTTCATTTCCCCTTGCTCTGCTGTGTTGATCTTCATAAGCAAGAGCACTAGACCCCGTAGCATCCAGCTACGTCACATTGTTTGCAATTAAAATGCAATTAGAGGTTCTTCATCATTGTACTTCAGAAACTGAAAGCATGTTCCCAGCGCCGATATGATTTAATAAGCTACATGTTCATATTACGTAAATGAAGGGTTTAATTTCATTATTTAAAACTTCCTTTATTAATAATATATTGTCATGCATACCTGATTAGTGTGACTAATAATAACGGGTTCTGGATTTTATGATTGGGTTTAATGGTACTTCTTTACAAGCTCACACATTGAACTGCTTCCGAATGTCGTATGAAGAACCTCTATGAAGAATCTCTCACTAATCTCGGACCGGTCTCTGCTACTCCTTGAATTCACGAATCCATTGCCTTTTATAACTGCCACGCGGACCTAATAGAGATCACCGCCTCCAAGGGTTCCATTCCTGTATTTTATGAATGCGTTGTCTCCGAAACAATGTATGAATTCCCAAGCAACGGTCTCGCTCCTAAGTGTTTACAACTTTCAGTGTTCATATCCACGGAAATCGTGTTTCCTAATTAGTTGGCTTCCAGGAATCAGCCCCTCTGTGGTGTTTATATGGTTCAGATTATTTATACGGCTATTCAGTTTTAGTGTGACGCGAATCCTAAGACCATGCCACAAACAGCGTGCATTTAAGTACTGATTTAACTTATTGAGTACCAGGAATTAATTAAATAATTTTTCTGGGGAGTAAAGGGCGGCCGGCGCGTAAGGCTGACAAACCAAACGCCATCTGTGAGCCCATTGTCTAGATAATGTGGGACCCTCAACGTTTCACAACCCTATGGGCCTCCATGGCCTGTAACAGGAATAGCTTTACTTTTATTTTAATGGACAGTTATTCAGGACATAGGTATTTAGAGGAAAGAGGACGGAAACTCCGTATAATAAGAGACCCAGATATGAAGTTGACTCAGCTCCGACCATAGCTGCATACGCGGGATGAAGTTTACATGAGAGATCTGCACGTTCATATATGACGGAGAAAATATTTTGCTAGTTGCTCAAAATTTGCAGTGGCGTTCCAAATGAAAATTCTTTTAGATCAAAGGATTTAGTTATCCTTGTTCACGAGAGTTTACGCTGAATTGCGAGACATCCTATTGTTATGGAGCGACCCGGACATGTCGATCAATATGTTACAGCGTCTCTTGTTCTTTTTGCATTGTTGTGAGATTTCAGTTAATATAACATAATATCTCAGTGAGGTTGATTACAAGGATATCTGGGCCGCTTTTTGGGCTTCCGATGGGTTCCGTACCTCCCGATTTAAATTTAATCATCTATTCGCAGTTCATACAATTTTGTTAAATGATTTCGATATAATTAGACCAAAAAATCAACGTTCTTTAGGCACTGTCAAGCATTAACAATGAGACTTCAGCAGACTTCTGTTGAAAAATATTAAGAAAGAAAGTGCATGGGGTGGCATAACACGTTGTGGCCGGACATATCAGGGAAACGGTAAAACGCCTAGCTTAGATTCCCGAGGTTCTCGTTTGAAACCTCGGCTGGGGTGCCGGCTATTCTGATTAAGGAACTGCGTGAATTCGCATGGTGCTTCATAGTGCGACTGCTGTGTCCTGCTCCTTTACGTAAAAAAAACTCGCCCAATTTTCTTCTTCTTCAATGCTAAATACTTTTTACCCTTAATTACTTAAAGCGATCACCAGTGGCTCCACCAGCAGTCGGCGGTACGGCTAGATAAGCGATCTACCTTATACGAGTACAAGCAAATGCATATCAACATCACACATCGGTAATTAACGAAAGAAACTAACTAACCATCTAACTCCTTCTTGAGAAGCCGCCAGTCGCTAAGCGACTCGATAACATCCTAACATTTTATGCAACCCTAAAGTTCGTTACCAGCCGGTCACGGTATCCTAGCGGTCTAAGGCATGTACTGTCTTCGCTCGCTTGGAAACCGGGATCGTGGGTTCGAATCCCACTCAGCGCGTGGATGTTTGGTGTGTGTCTGCGTATTTCTGTGTTTGTGTACAGGTAGAGGCCTTGCGACGAGCTGATCACCCGCCCAAGGTGTCCTACCGAATGTGTAAGATCTAGAAAAACTGAAGTGAACAGAGAAGTTCACGGAGGTAGGCCTAGGCCCACTGGGGTTGTAGTGACAAGGAAAAAGCAAAGTTTATTACCATGTTCACATCAGACCGCCACTGGTAACTAGCCTCAGCAAGATTAATACAGTCCATAACACCGACTCCTATTACTTTCAGACCATCATAATATTGTCATATGTTAGTGACTGTAGACGGGGCTTGGATTGGTGAATAGATTTATTGGATGTTCACAAATAATTATAACACTCTGAAGATTACTGTAACTATAACATGTAAAATAAAGTCTTCAGCGTATGCTTGCTTAGTCGTTGTTTGGTAACGAATCTTAGCTGAGTAACCCTTCAACTATTAAGCTCCCTTCTGAATTCTCTTACGATGGAATCTCTTGAATTCACCAATCCACTGCCTTTTATAACTGCTAGGCGGACCGCGTAGAAGACACTGCCTCCAAGGGTTCCATTATTGTACTTTATGAATATGTTTTCTCGGAAACACAGTATTAATTCCAAGCAACTGTTTGGTCTTCTAAGTGTTTACAACTCCCAGTGTCCGTATCCAAGGAAACTATGTATCCTAGTAGTTGGTTTCTAGGAATCAGTCTCGCCGTGGCAGCGTGCTTACCTATTCGTTTCCTAGAAACGGCCCATATGTCACGATATTATATTCTCCAATACTTTACATCTTCCTAGTGGTATCTTTCCTCCTGGCTCTTCCATAAAAACCCCATATGCATTCTACTTATCTCCATTCGTTTTACATGCATTGCCCATCTCGTCGTCCTTGACTTGATCATTCGAATTATATCTTGCGAAAAGTAAATTTACGAAGCATCTCATTATACACTTTTCTTCAGCCTCAATAGAAGAACAGTTCGATTTACTATAGAGTTGATTTCTTTTGACTGATTAAATCCAGACTTTTAATGGACCACCTGAGGGATGTAGCTATTATGTATCCTACTCACCTATCGAAAGATATACCGGTGAGAGTGAAAACACTGGCCGCCACTGATACGTTGGCTATGAAGTTGCTGATCCGGCAGTAGGGACTGCCGAAGTACCAGTTGCTGCAACACAAAGTTGAAGGGTTTTCGCTTAGAAACTAGACTGTAAATTTTGCAGGTAAGAAGTGAATGCGTTATGTCTAAACATTTTAAGTCCTGGAAGACAGAGAGAAAGAAGATAGACTAATATTAATTGAACCGTAGGCTGAGATTAGGGAATTCGATTCTAAACCTTCAGTAAGGGTGCTGGGTCCGTACCATAAACTTAGCCGCAGACCTTTCCATACATATTGTGACCTATAGACTCGTTGCTAGGCAACGACTCAGTAAACACATCCCGCGTCAACGAATACGTAACAATAAAGGACATCCGTTGCTAAGCAATGAATGTGTTTTCTTTATGGTCCGACCTGAGGCTATATGATGAGAAGCCAAAGTTTCGAACACTTGTGGAGGCGAGGTCGAATACCTCCACCATGACCCGGCGAGTAGTAGGAGGCGAAGAAAAGGGAAGTCTCAAATCTGAGACAGTAAAATAAGGTCGCGAGTCCCAAGGGACTCGGACCCGAGAAAGGCTGCGCTGGCAAGGGCCAGTAACATGTAAAAAAAAATACAGACCCATTCTCTCGTCAGAGTGGACAAAACCGTAATGTTCAACAGTAATAAATATCTGGTCATGAGCCCGAGACGGGACTCGACACCAAGACTTACGGACTGACTGAACGTCAGTCGCAATGTGACTTGGACTTGGACTGACAGTGTCTATAACCTGTGTGGAGGTGGGGTCGGATACCTCCACCGTGACCCTGCGAGTCGTAGGAGGCGACGAAAAGGGAAGTCTTAAATCCGACACGGTAAAATATGGTCTCGAGTCCCAAGGGACTCGGACCCGAGAAAGACTTCGCTAGCAAGGGTCAGCAGCATATACAAAATACAGACCCGTCCCCTTATCAGAGAGGGCGCCCCACGAAAACAAGACCATAACTGTGAAACAGTAATAAATATTTGGTCATGAGCCCCAGGAGGGGGCTCGACACCACGACTTACTGACTGACTGACCGACCGTCAGTCGCAATGTGACTTTGACTTTGACTGAGTTCAGTTAAGTTGAGTGACATGATATGAAGTAGTTGGTTGGTGAGTGAGTCAGTCAGTTGAAGGTTGGCAGTTGAGGCAAACTCTGCAATGAAGGCTGAGAAGAGATGGTGCTATGCTTGAGTCGACAATCGACAAGAGTTCAGTTGCGGGACATTCGCCTGACAGTAACAATGTGAGAGCGGGAAGTTGAAGAATCTCCACTGTTAGAAGCCGTTGCTAGGGCACGGCTGTTGAATTAACAGATACTATTGGTGGTCTATGAATTATAGAGATTAGCGATAGCGCTGCAATTAATTGTATTCACGAGCGGTGTATATAAGTGTCAATTAATCAAGTCACCAATCCATACCCCGTCTATAGTCACACATATACGTAACAATACTGTTCTCCTATGTATCCACTCCAGTCAACATGACACTTATAAGGCCTGAGGTCCTTCGTTAGCTCAGGGCTCCCAGTCTGGCTGTCCCTCTCGCGTAACTGTACCATTGTTTCCACTCTAAGCTTACCCTTCTGCCCTGAAAATGAAGGTTTCGTAACCTCGGAAAACATCTGCCAGACCTCCTGTATCGTATCCTGGAAAACAGTAATCTTCAGCTTAACTAGTGCTGCAGCCCTGCCTTCCGGGCTACATTTTATCTCTTGCAGTTGGTTTCGTTTGGAAAATCGGATCAGGCACCGAGGAACAATAGGCGAAATTCGGACTATATCCAACACTGATCCATGTTCACAGAGGATGAAATCTGGAATCTGCATGTAGTCCAGATTGTGGGTATTATCTTTGTGCAGTGGGTGTCAAATTTCACGGGTCCTGTCGCTTGATAATCATTCAGTTGTTCGCCAGAGCGCCTCTCTGTAGGTGACGTGAACTGCCGGTCGGGTGAGCGGAACTGTTTAAACCGAAGATGGAATATAGTTCATTTCTGAATAGTTAAATATACGTTATCAGCTGGAGAAGACCCCCCTTTCCGTAGCCTTCTTTAATTTAAATTTCGCTTTCAATTCCAGTTCTTTCCTCAGTTTTGTGAATATGTAACACTAGTTGCCATGCTATGGGTTTTATAATTGATATTTTATGGACAGCGAAAGAAAACTGTTAGTAAATGATGATGTTAATAATAATAATTTGATTCTATATTTATTTACGTGCTTACTCAAGCCGCGCCATAGCTCAAAAGTTAGTCGCTGGCTTCCCACCGCGGCGGCCCGGGTTCGATCCCGGGTCTGGTTTAGTGGGATTTGTGGTGGACAAAGTGGCGTTGTGTCAGGTTTTCTCCGAGTACTTCGGTTTCCCTTGCCAATCTTTATTCCACCAATTGCTCCACAATCACCCTCACCTATCATCTGGGGCTGGTACAATAGGCTAGAAGTGGCCGCAGTGCAAGGGACTTAGTCCGACCCCACTAGCAATAACAAAAATACGTGCTTACTCAGTAACCGAAAAACCAATTATGAAATAAGCAGGAGCGAAAGAAGGAAAGAAAACACCCTTAAAAAGACAAAAAGACAGCTCCTATAATTTAAATAATAATAAATATTCATTAGCTACAACCATGCCAACCATTATGCCGTGAGAAAAAATATACATATTAAGCGTACATTCGTATTGAATACTGTGACGTGCAGACCCATTGCTAGGCAACGATTCGGTAAACACATTCTTGCGGAATTGTATGCGCGCAACAATACGACGTCCTCTGCTAGGCAACAGAGCAGTAAACAAGCCTTCTCAACAATAGAGGCTGTGTTTTCTGCGTGGTCCTCGCCGAGAGGTTATAAAGGGACGAAGAAGGTCGCTTTAGTTAGTTGTTGTCGAGAATTTGGTCGAGTTCTGGAGATGGCAGTCGAAGATGATTGAGAAGAATTGGCAAGAAATGAATTAGGTTGTACAAAGAAAATTTCATATGGGCTGCAATGACAGGGAGACTGTTGTAAATCCGTTGCCTGGAAACGACCAGTGAAGAGTGAGAATCATAGTGCGTGTGTAGCAGTGAACTGTAAAGTATGCAGATTAGCGATAGCGCTCTATTTTCTGTAGTTCCGAGTGATGTGTATAAAATGTGAACAAATCCAAAACCCGTCATGCGCAAACCCTAACACGTGACAATAAGATTAATATTTAAGACATACAATTACAAGTACGATTAAGAGATAATAGTAATAGTAACAACAAGCCTATATCTCTGATCACGTAACTTAATAATGTATTTAAGAATCAAATGATTCACTCGCAAATAAAGCAAATAGAAACTCTCCGAATGATGCAAGTCTCTTATAAAGCCATAATTATGTTTAGTTTTTACTTAACTTACTGTCAAGATCAGGACTATACAGCATCGGTGGTAGGATGACGATGTCTTCTGGAATGTGATGTCACGTAGTCAGGTAGAATATTGCGAACGTTTGGGAAGAATGTTTTCTAAATTCGACACGTATGTATATTTATGCCAGTTACGGTAGCCGAGCGGTCTAAGGCATGCACTGTCTTCGCTCGCTCGGAAGCCGGGATCGTGGGTTCGAATCCCACTCAGGGCATGGATGTTTGTGTGCGTTTTTCTGTGTTTGTGTACAGGTAGAGGCCTTGCGACGAGCTGATCACCCGCCCAAGGAGTCCTACCGAATGTCTAAGATCTAGTAAACCGATGTGAAACGGAGAGTTTCATGGAGATAGGCCTAGGCCCAAATGAGGGCTGTAGCGCCAAAGGAAAAAAATGTATATTTATATTGCAGTTGTCTTTGACGGTGATTACGTCGCACAGAATATTACAGAAACTCCAATGACAGTCTGCCGTAATGGATTTTCTCAAAGCGTTTCTCTGCAACGGCTCCGTAAACACCTTCCAACTTGTAACAGTGGAATATGTGTCTCAGTGAAAAATGTTATAGCTCGTTGCTATAGAACAATCAACGCGCCAATGAACTCACTGGCTAGGAAACACGTAATTTGTGTTTTCTGCCTCTCTTCTTGATGGAATATAATAAATGTGAAAATATCATTATACGCATGTACTTGAACTCGAGATAAATGAAGTAATCTGGTTTGAAATTATTTCTAGACTAATTATCTAGCGATTTATTCAGTTTTGAGCAGTTATTATAGCTAAATTAGAAAGAGAAGGGAGTGATGTGGACTGGATTAATCTCGCTAAGGATAAGGACCATCAGCTGGGTCATATAAACGCGAAATTGGACCTTCGGTTCCATAAACTAATGGGAAATTCTTCAGTGGCTGAATGAGTGATGGCTTCTTAGTAATTACTCAGCTCCATGGAGTTATGCGTAATACTTGTATATGTAAGAAAACATTGTACAAAAGTGGCAATTGTGTAGTGATGCTAACATACAAAGTATACAAACAAACAAACTCCATGGTTCTAGTCCGAGCGACCGCCGCTTGTCGGCGAAGGTAGTGCCAGCTTTAGCGGATTGAGGGTGTTGCGTGGTCAGCGCAACGAATCCCCACGGCCGTTAATTCGGTTTTCTATACCGGAGCCGCTATTTCCTTAAAATAGCTCCTCAATTATCCTGATGAGGCTGAGCGGCCCCCATTCTGGACCCACTACTTCTCAGAAAATTTGGTAGCTCCTGGAATCGAACCCGGACCTCTAGATCTGTAGCCAGGAACTCTGACCACTAGACCACAGAAGCGGTCTAACATACAATATATATAAAAAGCAAACACAATATGAAGTATGTACATTAAATAATACTAGTTTTCTTATCGCTCTAATGTAGAAGTTTAAATCTTGAGCTCATGTATTGGATGTGTTCGAATTCAATGCTATTTCTCTTTTCGAATGCCGTCCGTCCCTAACCGCTAAATTCCGCTACCTAGCCCAGGTAGGGCGTGGATAAATTACTTTCGGAGGGACGGATATTAATTTTATCTTGTTATCTGAATCACAGCTATCTGTACAGCCACTTTCCGAGAAATTTTTCGGCAAGAACACTATCTGCGCATCCCT